GTCCTTTGGGAAGCAGATGCCAATATGAAATGAGCATTGCAAGAGAGTTACTGGGAATAACACCTATGAAAGATAAAAGGGAGAGTAAGAAGGAATAGGCAGGGAAAGTCTTCAGCTACAGGTCTGAAACTTGTGAAAAGAAAGGGGGAAGTAAGGAGAATTTAATAGGAACAGGGTCAGATAGAGATGCATCTCTGAGAAAGCCTCAGCCAGCCCAGTGGGGAGCCCTGACAGAGATTATCCACAGAGAAGTCCTGCGCTGGCCAGAGACAGTGAGCCCTTGTACTACCACTGTGCTCGTAATTGGCTTGGTGCTTCCAAGGAAACGTGACGTTGGTTTAAAAGTTGAGGGAGATTCTCTCTAGAAAAGAGATCTGAGCAGAGTATCTTCAAGGATGCCACGGTTCTTTGTCAGATGTATGTATTACAAGTATCCTCTTCTAGTACGTGGCCTGGTTTTTCTCTTAGTGGCATTTTTTAGTTAATTTTAATTAAGTCCAATATATCTTTTCTGAGGTCGCTCTTATTATGCAATGTTTAAGAAGTTGTTGCCTATCCCAAGGTCATGACGGTTTTCTCCTATGTTTTCCCCTAGAAGTTTTATTATTTTACTTTTAACACTTATGTCTATGATCTATTTTAAGTAATATTTTGGTTATGGTGTAAGGTTTTCCAGATTGACGTTTTCCACATTGATGACAAATTTGTCCCAGCATCAGTTAATGAAAAGATCTTTCCCCGCAAAGGACTGCAGTGGAGACTGCTATAAACAAGTGAATGTTATAAACAAGGCTTTGTTTCTGGATTTTCTAACCCATTGTTATATTTGTCTAAATTTGTGTAACTATCACACTATATTTCTGTACTTTTATAATAAATCTGGATATATGGTAATGTACATTCTCCAGTTTTATTCTTCAATATTAGCTTGGCTATTTTAGGATAGTTGCATTTCTACATACATGTAAGAATCACCTTGTCAATTCCAACAAAAAATATGCTGGAGTTTCCACTGAGATTCATTAAATCTATATAGATTAATTTGGGGAGGACTGACATTTTAATAATATTGAGTCTTTCAATCCACAAACATAGCATGCCTCTAGGGAGGAGCATTCTAGGCGGAGGGGAAAGCATGAACAAGGGCAGAGAGACAAGAAATTGCATGGCTTCTGGAATATGAGAGGCTACGAATCAGTTCACTGAGTTGTAAAGTACAAGGCATGATGAGGCTGATGATAGAGGCAGAGGCCAGATTATGGAGGAACTTGTCAGTCACGTCCAAGAGCTTGGATCTAAGGCTAAAGGATGGTTTTAAAGCACAAAAGTGGCACAGTCTGATGTGTATTCATTCATTCATACAGAGGATTCAATCAGAAAAGGGTGTGAATAGGTTTGAATGGCTTTCAAAGGGGACAAAAGTGTAGACAGGCATAACAGGAAACCATTCCAGCAGTTAAGGTTAAATATAATGATCTGAACAAGAGCAGTAGCAATCAAGATGGAAAAGGAAGAGATTCACATTTGGTCGGTAAAATCACTAGGATTTGGTGATTAGATATTGTGGGTTTGGTGGGGGGATGGTGAGAAAGAGTCAAAGATGGTTCTCAATTTTCTAACCTGTATTATCAGTAGATGGTGGTATAATACAGGAGTAAGAGTAAACTTGGGAAGAGATGTTGAGTAGGTTGAATTTGGGATGCCTATGAGTCTCCCCACTCATGGAGGTGTCTAACAGACAAGTGGACATATAGGTCTGAAGCACAGGGAAAGATCCAGAACGGATATATGGTCCTGGGAGTATGGGTAAAATCATGAGAATGGATGAGATTACCCAAGGACTGTGTTGTTATGTATTCCTCCTCCACATTCCCATTCAGACTTAAATTTTCCTAGTTCTTTGTCTTATTTTTCATGTTAACCATTGATATCCCCTGGGTTAAAAATCATATCAGAAATACTGTTTACTGTTCTAAAATTACATTTATGACCACGAATTTCAAATGAACATTCAGTACAGCCAGATATATCTTATAAAGTTCCACTTTCATAGACCACATTTTCAGCTTCTCCTCTTCCTTGAACCTATCATTCCCTTGCTGCCTTTGACTCTCAGTTGAACTTTACCTTATACTTCACTATATATACATGTGTGTGTACGCATGTGTGTGTGTGTATGTGTATATATATATATATACACATATATGTGTGTGTGTGTGTGTGTGTATATATATATAAAATCAATAGAGCCACAATAGCAATTCGACTACCTCATTTTCATACCGTCAAGTCTACCAGGTCCTCTGCATCTGCTGTCTTCCTTCCTGTTACTGCGAAAGTATCCCCATTCCAATCTACATCCAGGCCCATAACCTGTGCTCTAAATTTCTTCCTTTCTCCCTTCCTCTATCATCATCCATTTCTCCTCCACTACTGAGTCAGTCTCATTTTTACAAAAACAAAAGAAAATTTCAGTGCAAAGACTGCTAGTGCTCACTGATATCCACTTTCTTCTCTTCTTCCTGGGCAGACAGCTAAATTACATTTCTCAAATTATATTTCTCAGCCCCCTTGTGGGGGCATGGAAAGAGACTATGACCAGAAATAATGTATTCCACTTTCAGACCTGGCCCATACAAATTTCCCATTCGTGATTCTCTACTCTCTTTCCTTTTCCAAGGTGACTTTGAAGGCCACATACTGGTGCTACAAGACTGAAGGCACTTGGGTCTCTGGGTTATTCCTGGAAGAAAGCCATTCAACTCACATTGGAATGTGACTCAAATGATGAACTTTATGTTAACCTGTTGAGATTGCAGTTGTCAGTGATAGATCTTAGCCTAATAAAACTCCACATCCCCCTCCAGCTATTCCCCGCTTGTTTCTTTTAACACTCTTTGAAGAGTTGTCTATAAGCATTTCCATCATTCTCTTCTCAATTTCCTCCATTTCAGCCCTCATTCCCATCATTCCACTGATATGGCTCTTATCAAGGTCATTAATGACCCTCATCTTGCCAAATCCAATGTCATCACTTTATTTTCATCTTTTCCAATCTCAGCATCATTTAACACAGCTGACCACTTTTATTCTTTTGAAAACACTGAGACCTCACAGTCTTCATTTTCCTCCTACTTCACTGGCAGCTCTTTTTTCTTTACCAGTTCTCTAAGATTTGGAGGATCTTGAGGCTCTTTTCAAATTTTTTTATCTGCACTCTTCCTTTAGGTGGTATTATCATAAATGAAATGCTACTGACTCCCAAGTCTTTATTTCTAGCCCATATCTCTCCCCTTAGCTTCAGTTATGCACATTCAACTGTCTACTGGGATGTCTATTAGGCATCTGCAATGTAACGTATCTAAAACTTAACTCCTAATTTTCCCTCTCAAACCTTTTTCTTCATCAACCTTCCTTTTTTACCTGGTTGCTCAAGCCAAAAATGTGGGCATTTCCCTGATTCCTTTTTTCCCCTCCCACCTGCATCTATCTAATCCATCAACAAGTCCTTTTGGCTGTCACTAAAATATCTTACTAAATCTGACCTCTTTTAACCATCTCCTCCACAAAAACATTAGTTGAAACCACTTTTACTTCTCAGATTACTGAAATCTCTTAATTGCTAATCCCTACCCCTAGTTAGCGTATACTAATTGAACATCAGCTGGAGTAAACATCTCAAAATGTAATCATAAATCAATCACACTTAAAACTCTCAATAACTTTCTGTCTGCAACTGGAATAAAATCCATCCTTACCAAGTGAGATCTGTCTTCGCAATCTCTTTCGTACATCACAGTTTGGTTTAATACTTCTTCAATAGTTTCATTCTTTTCTACTTTTCTACATTTTTGGAAAAGATATTTTGGGGTTGATAGGAGATTTTAGGGTCCTCTAGTTTCTGCACCTGCATGGCAGGCTGATATCCCCCCACTTTATTTTAGACAGCAAGGGACAGTGGAAAGAGCATGGAACTTTGGAGTCAGACAACCCTCGGTGTAAACTGCTTTTCTTTTTACCAGCATTCTGAATTATGAACTTATCTTCTCTGAAGTATTACTTAATTTCTCTGAACCATGATTATCTCATCTACAAAATGATAATATGTCATATATGAAGTAAAATGACAAATATGAGGTTCTTAGCTCATGAAGTAAACAAAGTTATACTAGATTCCTTTAACACACTAAACTTTCGTTCCATTCCCCCTCTCCTCGTGGGTATCTCTGTCAAACCCCACGAGTGTCCACCCCACTAATCTTGAGCACACTGCATTAATGAGGCAACGAACTCGCAGTGTGGACCTTAAGAGTTTAAAAAGTTTTAGTAGGTAAAGTACGTAAAGTTAACTGAGCCCTCGCAATTTAAGCATAGAGAGGGAAAATCACACTGCGGGGGTCCCCTATGCAAATATATGAATTAAACAGGAATACTGGCGACAGCCGCTTCAGCACTTCCCCTCCAGGAGCACCGCGATGGTCGCGGGGCGCCGCCCGCCGGCGCGGGGGCGGAGATTTGCATGTGCGAAATCGGGAAGAGGGGGAACCACCCATCGAAAACCCCGGGTCTTAGCCCCCCCATCCGGGGAGGGCCGGCGTCATTTTGCTGCCCGGCCCGCCCCCAAGTACTCCCGAGCGGCCGACCCTCTCGACGTCACCGCACCCTCCTACCCGCTTCTGAACTTTAAACCACGCGCCGAAGAACAACCTGGAGGAGGGGGATTTCTCAGGAGCCCGAGGCTTTTGCACGCTGGGGACCGTCACCTCCCGGCTCCCGTGTTCCCTGCGCTCCCGAAGATCCTGCGCTCCAGCCCCGCGGACCGGCCCCGAG